GAAGATAGCACCGGATGAATGAAAGAAGAAAAACAAGGAATGGTGATACTGCCACAGCACAGCTGGTCCACCTTCGCATCGCAGTCGCGTGTGTTGCATTCGCGTGACTCATGGGTCCAGTAGCGCGACATACATTGTGCGCTCCTTGTGCGCAACATCGCACAGCTGAGAGCATGCTCACCTTCGGGTGTATACTCCTTGTGCACCAGCGGACGACTGCAAGCACTCTCACCATGGGGTGGACGAAATCCTTCGCCTCTCTCCATTCCCATACAATCCACCAGGTCAGCAGGCGTTTTCCTGGTCGCGACATTTCCCTTCAGAGAATTTCGGGGTCCCAAATCCTCAGCCTCCCACAAGCGTTTTCACACAACCGAAACAATCTAGTTGCAACCCCTCCTTCCATCCGCCAAAGCCGTCGGCGACTTTCTCTCTGCTTTCAGCGGGGTGCTGTTTTGCAAGGCTCGGCATGTGGTGATCTCCAATGGGGCTCGCCTCAACGAGGGCTGCTTCGGGAAGATTCTTGGCCTCTGGGAGGGCGTCGTGGATTACGCAAATAGGGGGCTTTGCCCCACCTTGCTCGACCTGAAAATCAGGGACACGATCAAAACACACTTCGGCGCCCTTGGGACAAAGTGGCATTACTAAGCACTGATAAATACTAAGCCTGGTGTCCATGCTGCTTGTAAGGTTGTTCTTGGCAGTTACGTTATAAATTCACATTCATACGTAGTCAATGTTGAGAGATGTTATTTTTTGCAAAAGGTGAGGACATGGTCGAAGGGGCGGCGCCTAGAGAATGCTTCCTTCTGAAGGTTGTAAGGGCATCTACACTAGTTGGTGTTTGGTGTGCAGTTCTAAAAGCACCACAACAAATGCTTCTCAACTATTTGACACATGAAGGAGAACATTACTGTGACGCAGTAACAGAGGAAAGTACAACGATATCGTTGAAACAAATTCATTATGAGCAGAGAGGCACACGATCAGGGGAACCACCTGCGGGCCAGCAGGTACTTTACACAACACTACGGTCCCGAGTTAAGGGCCGTGCAATGTCCGATTCATAAAGGAATGCGCCAAACTGGTCCATAACTTTGGAACATGCTTATTGCCAACAGCAGTTCAAATACTAATAATTAAGCTCTGCTCAAGCTTGTTAATAAACTTGCAAACTGAAGAGCTGTGATCAGATGCCGCGTATAGTTAGAATTCAACAAATCATTAGTGTTGTACCTATCATCAATTCCTTTACCAGTGGATGCCGTTTTTGCAACGAACAATGCAGTTGCATCAGAAATACCCATGCACATGCCATTCGCTCTTGAACTGCTCGTATCCTGCATTGAATAGCATTCAATAGACACCTCCCTCCGCTACTGACATAGTCTTGAATGATGATGCTCACTTACCCAGGAATAGAGATGAGGCAAATAAGTGATCATCACCTGAGAAGACATGACACAACACAGGACATTCTCAGGCCCTCTCAGAAAACCCACTCGGCCCATTCCAAAATCTGAACGTTCAAACAATTAGAACTTGGACAAGCTTTTTTCACATATAAGTATCAACATCGCAAAAGTTGCACAACTTTCGGAAAAGCTGTGCATCGCCGGCCGATTTCGCCACTATCATTGAGTGCTGGAAAGGGAAAACGGCGCATGTGCATCGAAAGGCAAATGCTGTTCTCAACTTGTACTCCGAATATGAACACAACAATACCAACATATACGACATGCGCCTGCATATAAATGAAACAAGTAACTTAACGCCGTGCCACCGTTCTTACTCTGATCAACACTGCTGCCAGTGCGAGGGCGATGGCAATGACGTCCTCTAGCGGCAGAGATGCCTGCTCCAGTACATCAAGCAACAAAGCATTGAATGCCAATCAGATTTTTTGGGGGGCAACCAAATATGATACAGATGAGGAATAACAAACGATGAATATTAAGATGGCTGCTAACCTAGTAGGACACTAGTAGTACATAATAAACCTCATGAAATTGCGAATAAAAGTGGATAACAAGACGCAATGAACAAGCCACGGCGCCCACAATGCCTGGTCATGCTAATTGTGGTGCCGCTGATGCCGGCGCAGGCAAATGAGTTCCACGTTACTACAATCGCTAAGAGCCTATTTCAAAAAATTGTCTAACCTAAGCTTCCTGCAGTACCATCAGCACTGCGATGTTGACAGAAACGGTCCCAATATTTTGGGCAGAATTGGGGTGGCGCTTACATAGTACTGGAATGCGTCATCCAGGTATTCGTGCGTCCACGCGATCAGTCCAATCACGAACGACACCGCAAATCCCTGCGCGCATGAGCACCATGTCAGCAACGCCCCCGCAACAGTGCTTTTGGATAATGCAATTGCAAATTCAATTAGATGGGCCAAAATTTTTGTCCAGCGCTTCAGTGGACTCGCCTTTTCGTTACGGGGACTCAGGTGGCGTGAAGCGTTACACGATTCCGGCCTTCATTGTTCTGGCAGACTTGTGCCTTGTGTCGATGCTGTTACTCGCAAAGTGGCATCTATAGCTGTTGAGAAGTAGCCACAATGTTGCCATCCCATTCCTGTTGATGCTGTGCCATGTAGTGCTGGATCAAATCTCATTTACCAAGTAGGTATTCGATTTTCAATACGCATAACAGCAGCCTAGCATTCTAGACATGGTATTTGGCAAGAGTTGGTGCGAGTGTGAACGGTGCATTATTGCTGATGCATGGACTCTGGACCACCCCTGTTCTGCTTTATGCCAATGGCATTGCACCGCCCATTGGCATTGCACCGCCCATTGGCAACACGGCTTCCGGCCAGGTTCCAGACGGTATCCTGCACAAACTTGATTGAACTTTCCGTGGCACCCAAAAGTGCTGGATGTGCATGAAGCTTGTGAGGGAAGAGTTCATAGTGCATCGTTGAGCGTCCAACTCCAGGAACGGGGGGTGAAACTGAAGCGCTTTTGTTCATCTTCTTGGCCTTCGCGACTTTGGGGCAGTTGGGTAGTAAGAAATCAAGTTGTAGCCATCAGTTTAATTTAATTGGCATTTCGTTGACACAGTGTGTCTGGAGACGCCTGTCCCATTGGGGCCAGCTTAGGGTACAAAATATGTAAACTGAGTTATTGCTCAAGTTGAAATTTAGCATCGACAACATTGCCATGTCGCCTCCCACTCCGCGCCACAGATCACATGTCAGCCTACTGGGAGTTCGAGAAGAAAGCAAGAGGCGTTGCGTGGTCACCCTTACCCTCTGGTACAGCACCGAAATGTGATCGCACGCCACCTGAGAAAAAGAGAGCCAGGGCAGGGCAGAGGTCAATTCCAGGAAAATGCTTTGTAAACATGTCGACAATTGCTATTGTTAATTTGCCATTGGAACCATCGGCCAACGGATGGTTTGTCGTAGGCATACTGGCCTAACGAAGGAAGGGGGCGAACACGCCGGATGCAAAATGCCCTAAAAGTATTCATTCTAGGATGCGGCGCAGGTTGAACAGAAGTAAAGTGTAGATAAGAGCGGGAAAGAAACAATGAAAGCGTGACTAAATTCATTGAAAACAGTAAGTAGAGCGCGGCCAGTTGCTGTGGAATCTAGAAAGAATGGACAAGACTGAGAAAAATGAATCAAGAATGCGGAACAATGGAACGGAACGGAACGCTTGCTTAGAAGAATGTCTAGGATTGTCACACACCTGCCTGTTCAAATGCGCAGACAGCTGGAAACATATTCACGTACTCATTTTCACGCATGAATGTACAGATCGGGTCTCAATTTGCTGCAAAACGCTGCTCTAGCAGCGGTGCCCTTCGTCCCCTTGATGCTTGTAAAGTACTCGGCGCCCAGCCCGCCGTAACCCCTGGGCGGCATTGAATGAGCGAACGCGGCCGGCTGACAACTTGACTACACCAAATTGGCCTGCGCACCCCAGTGCTGTGCACGGCAAAATGCGCGCACGGCGCATTCACAAGCACAAAATCGGGAATGCCAGGGTACGCGGTTTGGGGCGAATGCCAAATATATAGGCGTCGTTTACACCAAACCTGGGAATATCGAATGCGGCCGATGTGAGACTCTTAACATACCGAGTAGGCCAGAGAGACGGAAGAAATCACCAGGGCCGACATATGATCACGTCTCTTTGTTTGTACGGGCTCCTGCAAGCAGAAATGAAACGGTCAAAGGAGGGTTAGCATGCTTGTATCGAACAACGCTCTTATAAAATGGATTGCGCTTTCTCGCAGGTTCGATGTAGATACCTTGAAACCATTTTGCGCATTTTCGATGCATGACCTCAAGATTCTCAATATTGGAAGCTTCTGGCTCAACGCCGTTGACAACATTTTGCCCACCAAGCACCGATTTCGATTCCGCGGTCTAACGCAATTCCTGCTTTGTATGAATGATCGATTTTTCGAACAGTGGCTGTTAGAACACTCATTATTCTTCGGATGCACATTTCCACCACGACAAGCTATCTCTGGCAGATGCTTCAACAGCATTACACTTGAACGGCGATATCGACAGCAGCAATTGCGCCTGGTACACTTCGCATCAAAATTTAAGGCAGGAACTGGAGCATATGCCATGTCTGGAAGGGAAGCGGGGCCCGGGGAGGCGACGCCATCATGATTCTTGACAAGCTTCTCTGTTTAGAAACAGTTGAATAATTTTATCAAAATGTATGCACATGAGCAAACTATATTCGCGTGTCGCATCTGGGGAACTGTTTAACAACCGGTCATCTTTCTTTATCCCCCATCGCCATGCATTGCGAAATCGCCATGAATGGCGCTCTAGACACTTAAAAACGCCATTTCGAGCAAAGGAACCTGCATTTTTGCTGCTCGCCATTGCCTAACATTGTACCTTTCATGCGCTGCCGAACACAACAGCACCCCTTCTGGAGACGAGCGTCAGGACCCTCTAGTGGTAAAAGGTGATATCAGCCTCAACGCTTTGCAGCAATTACTTGCGACGATCTTTGTGAAGAGGTGCTATCGTACCGTTTGGGCTTTGACATCCGCCAGCCATCTCCGGACGTCGCTTCTATTTAAATCCAGGAATGCCACGTCACCATCCCAGGATGACACCACGCCGACAATGAGATCGAAATTGCTATCTCGGTTCTCAAAACCAGCTGCAGAGGGAGGCGGGTCCAGCGCCAGCAAACTGTACTGCCTGAACTTGAGGCCTGAACCGCCGACCATGAAAATCAGCGTCACTTCAAAACACGGCTCTTGCAACTTTGTTCAAACTGGATCAAAGTGCAAAGTGCTCAAATGTTCAAACTGAATAAGGTGCTCGCGATGCCAACATTCACCAGTGCCTGCCAAAATATGCAGCATGCCTCAACCAACTGCTCGCTGCCGACAATCAACAGTCGTTGCTCACCGTCATTGTAGTTTGGTGCTTTCGCCAAGGCTCGCTCGCACTCGGCCCCCATGGCGTCCTTCCCGCAGTCCCAGGGAGCGACGAGAACGTCGCTTCCATCAGCGACAGTCGTCAGAACGGCGTTTGGGATTGGCTGCGCCGCTTGAGGCACTGCCACGTTGCCGCTGACGGGCTCCAAGAGTAGAAACAAAGCCACTTCCGTTATGTTCGGATGAAAAAGGACCCCTTCCGCCCTGACCTCCTGCGCAATTTAAACTTGGCTTTGCGTTTTCTTCACTTTAAACTTGCAGCCATTTGCAGTAGGTCGATTCCTAATTCATTGAACCTCCTTGGTAGAACTGGCGTGAGGCTCAATACTTTGCGGTTCATGCTTGTGCCACTTTTTCCTCAGGGATGTGATGTCACCCCCACTTTTTTGGGTGGTGGTGGGGCGCTTTGGGCTTCCACGCTTGAACAGTGCAATTCGCGTCAAGGTCCTTTTTGGGAAGAGAAAAGGCCTAACGTCTTCCAGTGCCTAGTGGGGCGTCATTCCCTCCACCGAGAAACATCAGGCAGGGAAAGGAGTCGGGGAAAAACCCATAAAACTTAAAATAGGGACGGGAGGCGAGGCATCGGTGCTATTCAGAAGCAGCGCATTCAGTCGATTCTCAGTCCAGTGAGCTGCTGATGGAGTACTTTAGCTATGCACACAGCAGGTATTCTGCCCGTTGCTTCATTGACAATGCGCTGGGCAACGATACTTTGCCTGAATTGCGGCCACCCCACCAACAGCGAACCGTTTACAAAAGCGTAGTGCGTCTGCGCCGTCTCCAACGTTCAACAACATAGTAAATTTACATTGAACATTCCAACGTATCATATGCATGGATGAAGCAACACCACATCATTAATACGTCATGGTAGTAGACGACCGCAAACCTTCATACACACTCAAGATCTCAACTTATCGCCGACATATTTGCCCAATTTCCAATTTGGGTTTACGTTCATTAACTATGCGTGAATCTTACACACCCCGATTGAATTTGATGAAAAATAAAACAAACAACAATGATAGAATATTCACATTACCTTGATCGTCGCCGCCCCTTCGTCAGCCACCGCGCTGTAAAAGAAAAGCACCGGATTTGGGCCGACCAACTTCGCGCAACGAGCGTCGACAATTACGTAACGCGGATGAGTCAGCACGCCATCGCAACTGCCCCCCTTTAAACCGTTCCGTACGCTGACCAGATACGGAAATCGACCTCGCGGTGCTGCACTCCATGTGAGATCTCCCTGTCAAGAAACGCAATTAAACATCTGTCGTATGTTGTAACAAATCCTATCGACAGTCAGGAATCAGGTCAGCACTCATCAGGGAGCAAGAGGCGGCAAATCTAAATAAAAAACTGACCAAAGCGCCTTTTCAAGGGCACATTTTGCAGCTCTCCCGTACACAAACTACATACAAAACTGTACACTTGTTTCTATGTTCGTAACAGTAGTCTACACGTGCATCCTTCTCTACGTAGAGAAGGAGTATGCATACGTTGATTATACTCAAATTAAATAAATCAATTATTAAACTACATAAGAGAATCAAAATATACGTAATGGATGTAGCCCAGTACAGCCATAAATAAACAAAATTGCTGCAATTTGGCAAGACATTCTAATGAAACGCCAAAACGTCGTATGTACATCTTCTAACAAAGCAGAGAAATTACAATCGATTGACTGAAGAAACATTTAATCAAGTACTCATTCTTTACAATAAAGATCTCTTCTTGGCAACACAGTGCCATCGTGACTACACCTTAGCGTCATCACACCGGATGCTTGGTTCTGTACGTCCTTCCAATTTTTATGCTATGCGCATGTGGGTAGGTAAGCCAATCTAAATGTTGACAAGTCATTAAACAAAAAATAACGTAAGCAAACGTAGAGAGGCAAACGAACAACGAAATCAAATCGAATTAATCAAACACATCGTGAATGATTTAATGAATAAATGAACGGAAATAATGATAAACAACACTTATCCACAAATGCGACTCTGCACCTGCATGGGAGAATTCACATCGCTGTATGCAGCAGCAGCCGTCGCAAAGGTGATGGCGATAATGACGCAAGCTGTCAGGGAAAACGACGAGGAGAACCACCCCCGCGAAGCATAAATATTTGAAGCATCTTGGCGAAGTTCCATTTTGGATCGAGGCGGCTTCTGAAGCAGGTGAGGCAGTCGATTAATGAACACGTCAATTAACATCTCATAGTGTTGATCGACCAAATCAAGAAGAATTTAACGAAGATGCAATAGCGCCAATGGCATCCACAGCCCACCTCGCCCACATTGCCTGCTGACGTCGGCGGACGCCAGTATGCTGTGGGAACGTGCCGGACGCTGTCTAAACTCTCACGAGATTACACACTCGCAAGATCAGCGTCGTGAAACGGAGAGGGGCAACGAAGTTGAAAATGGGGGCAGCAGCATCAATCCGCCTGCCAAGCTACATGGTTGATGACTGATTGAATCAGCATGTCATTGACTTTGTGAGAGCAATTGGCACTCTGACGCTCTTGAGTGGCTTGAGGATGGGTAGTTGACTGACGACACAGTTGCTGTTATAGAGGCAGTGGGGGAGGGTGCCATGGATGGATCGGACATGGATGCTAAATGACTGAACTTGCATGTTATTGATGTTGTAATTGTGAAAATCTTGCCGTATTCTTGGACGTATTTTTAGACTCAAAATAAAAAAACACGATAATGGGCGTGCTCTTCCGTATTAATATTTTAAGACGCATCAATATTTCCCAAGCTTGCAGAATACCAATTAATCAAGACCTGGCTGACGTAAACAAATTTCTTAAGAAATGCGCACTTCTTGTATGCTCGTGAAGCGCATCAAACAATCACATCTTAAAATGGTGAAAAAGACAGAATTGCAAACCGCATCCAAATAAATTCAGGTGTGCAGTGCACAAAAATACTTCTATTTGTGTCACTACTGGCCAGTAAGCAAGATGTAAGCACGATAGCATCTTTGAACGTGTCCGGTCGACTCAACTTTCTGAATTGTGCACAATGACAACGTTCATCCATGTTCAAACTGCCAGTGACAAAAGAGCTTGCCTTGTTCAGAATTTCGTCGCTCGCTTCCAGTCCTTCTCTCCTGACCCTCCCTGTTTCTTCAGACTTTCTCTTCACATGCCTTGTTGCCAAACCACAGAAATAAGTGGAAATGTCTGGATGGGGACCAAGCGGTGGCATCTCCACTCGCTTCTGAGGTTGTTGTGCTACAAGCTCCAAATTATGCCCAGCAGCAGCAATGATTTGGTGGCCCTGTCTTTGCACTGTCTTTGCCATTTCTAGGGCTTGTCTATAGTAAGGTTTTGCTGCTGTGTATTCTTTTTTTCGTTCGAGTACTAATCCAAGGTTGCAGGGATAGTGTGTTGACCCCAAAACCACCCAGCAAAGCTCACCCAACACATTCCTCTGCAATTCCAGTACTCCCCTGTGGAGCATCTTGGCTTCTTTATACTTCACCTGCTCCCCAAACACATATATCAAACTGTTGAGAGAAGCAGTAACATCTGGATAGACCTCACCCAACACCTTCCTCCGCAATTCCATCCATTCACTGTGAAGCCTCTGTGCTTCTTCGTATGTCTCCTGGCTCCTAAGCATCAATGCCAAATTGTCCAACGATGTGGCAACATCTGGTTGGGCCACACCCAACCCCATCCTCACTGTTTCCAGCCCTTCTCTGTGAGACCCCTCTGGCTCTTTGTGTCCCCTGTGACTGCCAAGCACCATTGCTAAGTTGCTTAAAGACTTTCCAGCATCTGGGTTGACCTCACACAACACCTTCCATCTCGTGGCCTGCCCTTCTCTTTCAAGCCTTTCAGCTTCCTCATACTTTTGCTGATGGCTAAGCACCAAAGCCAACTTACTCAAGAAAGGGGCATGCACAACCTTGTTCCTCATTCCCAAAGCAGTGTCAAGGAAAGAGAGTGGCTTGTTCACAAGTCCACTGCTGAATGCCCACCCTGCAAAACTAATCTTCCACTTTTCTTTGCACACTCTGACGCTGAGCATTGCCATCAAGACACGCACATGAGCTGTAAAGATTGGATCAATCTTAAGCAATTTCAACCCCACACTTCTTTGATTTCCCTCTGCCTTCTGTGGTAATCCCTGCCAAGGAGTTGATGCACAAATCAAAGGAACAGCACCATCTGGGAAGACCATGTTCAACAAACACCAGACAATACCCACTGCTGCTCCATACTTCCCCTGCTGGAAGAGCATCATACAGATCCACGCCATTGCGTATCTTCTTTGAAATTCTGACACCGAATACCTCGCTGTATCTGGTGCTAATTTGTAATGCCCCTCCTGTTGAACAAAAATGCCACAATGTTCAAAGCCAATGCAAAACAGAGTGCCGATACTATCATCGCACTGCCATAAGTGCAGATGCGATTGAGTTCGTCATGAGCGAACTGTGACATTCCAAAGGACAGTTCTCGCAATTTTAGCTTCCTGGATGACTCTTGCTGGCAGTGCCAAAATTCAAACCTCAAATCATGCACTGACAACAAGAAGACTAATGCGCCATATCAAAATTTTCTTCACAGTAACTCAAAATGCAGAGAAACAATTAAATGAGACGTTGAGGAGATTCTAGAGGTCCCAAAATGCGATGCTCTGGCTGAGTGCCAATTTGCTGATTTGCTGTTTGGGCTCTTAGCAACTCACGCTTCCACTGAACGATCGCATGGAACCCAAAATGCAAACCGCACCTCCCTAGGCCGCTGCAGCCCTTGCCATGGCCGCCGCTCCGAGGATCCAGGCCCTGCTCGCGTCTGACGGACACAATACATGAAGGTCGCCAGGAAACAAAAAGGCATATGTGGCAATGACAATTGGATGCGGTGGCCATGCACACAGTGCCCGGTGGGAAAGGCCGGGTAGCGCGTCTCGCGGCGCGGAAAGCGATCGCCGGCATATACCAACGCCAGCATTTGGCAGCGTGTGTGCGGCGTGGCAACGCTGGGTGCACCATGCATCATGAATTTGAGAAAAGGCGGTGCTGTTTGTGGGTCAGCCCAGCACTGTGCTTGCGAAGCGGCCCAGGCCAGTCTCTCCCTTTATGGCTGGCTGGTTTGCGTGCTTGATGTGCTTTGAAACCAGGGCAAGCGGCGCTTCATGCACTTGCAACGAATCCTTGCTGGGTGAGCCCAGCCTGGTCGCATTCGATGCTGTGCTCTTTGCTTGCGTGCTTCGTTTTCAAGCCAAAGCGCACAAGCAAAATAAGCACACTGCCTAAAAGTTGCTTCCGATAAAAGTCGACACAATCGATACAAGTCGCCAATTGTCACCGTTCATATTTACTGCCCCCCCCCCCTCCCCGCCCAAACAATGCCGATGGCGCCGTTTCGCAACCAAGCCGTCACTGACCTAAAAATACGCAACGCAGAGGACAGCCTCGTTTGGCTGCACATTGATGGCTCAATCGCAGCCACTGGTGCAGCTGACCTCCCCGCGGATGACCATCCTTTGACACAGCAAAAACGCGCGGCTTTGGTTTGGATCCGCGCACACCCGCCGCTGACCATTCCGTGGGCCTCCGCAAGGCCATGAGCACGCGCTGCGCGTCACGCTCGCCAATTCCCCCCGAGGTTCCCCTGCTCGCCGCCAGCGGCGCAGGCACCCGCGCCCTGCTCTGCGCTGCCCGCGACAAAACTTGGCCGGCGGGCTATTCTGTCTCCACTCTGGCTGTTAAAAAATGTCCGAAGCGAAAAAAATACAGGAAGCCAAAAAAATCTCCGCCCAAAAAATGCGGAGCGGAAACCGTGACGCTGTCCGTTCGCAAGGCGAAGGGGTTTGATGTTTTGCGGCGAAACAGCCCCTTGTACGCAGCACCACCGTTTCGCTGGCCATTGTTTAATGACCATAGTTTCACTGGGTGGATCACTTATGCATTGTGGTGTGCGACTCTGAGTCGCACAGGCTTGGTTTTTACGCCGTAAAAACTGATCGTATTTACGTCTTTACGCGGAAAAACAGCTTTTACGTTTTTACGCGTAAAAATGCGTAAAAATACGTAAATACAACGTAAAAACTGCCCGGTGTACATAAGGACAGTACATACAGACTTACGGAGTCCGGAGAGTGGCAGCCAGACGCCCTGGAAGGGGCAGGAAACGAGTTCTTGTCAAACACCATCATCGCGCTTGCCAAGGGCGAGGTGGACACTGTGTTGCGGGTGCTGGATATATATCCATATATGGCGAAAGACTGATCATTGTACGCAACTTTCATCACGTAATCTGGGCGTCCAAGGGAGCCGTAAAAACGTAAAAATAGCCGTAAAAATAGGGTCTTTTGCAAATTTACGTTTTTACGCGTAAAAACGTAAAAGTAAAAACGTAAACGTAAACGTAAAAACCAAGCCTGGAGTCGCACACCATATACTCGTATACGGAATACGAGTTGTATACACTTCGAGAACGTGGTTCATATGCGAGGCGTTCCGAATCAGAAGAAAAGAGAAATATGTTTTAGAATTCGCAGAATCGTTTCTCTTATGATGGGACCTTCTAAATATCAATTCGATTGTTGTGGGAGATGCCATCTGATTCAGAGACAAATGCTATGGCTGGGGTCACGGTCGTAGGTTGTTTGTGGTGTGTCCGTGTGGCCATGCGCCAAGGCCGTTGAAGCATTGGCGATCGTGGATTCGCGCTTCCCATATGAACTTCAAAGGGAGCCGTTTGAATCGCATCAACAACATTTCCTTCAAGACCCTCCAATGGTGCGCACATGGCACTTGCTATATTTTGCTGGGGTGTTCACTTTCAAATAGCCGCATTTCAGCAGCGAACTGGCTCGGGACCACTATAAACCTGCGGACTGTAAGTTGGGCTGAAAGTTGGCTCAAGGCTAGCTGGGCGACTGAGAATGGGTGGACTTTGAATTTCTAAGTCCTCTGGCGCTGTCCATCCTTCGACCCAAATAGGGATCGTGCAAATCACACACTGCAAGGCCCATAACCCACACAACTCAACGGACCAAATATGATGCATAGTTGTTTGGCTGTGCTGTTTAACCGTTTGACACAAATTTTCTCCCACCACGTGGTGACCGAGAACATTGCCCCAAGAAGTCTGTGCACTGAGAACATTTGTAGAGCGATCGCATCATTTTTTTAATATAACCATTGCGTAATGTGGACAACATACTAATTGGCCATTCATAGTTATGCTTGCATGAGTATGCGCGCTGTCATTTTGTGATGGAGCGGATCATCTTTGCCATCGTGGCGCACTGGGCCCAAAATTGGCTTCCGTTATGCACCCTGCCATTGCAGCTTGTGAACATGCACATTCGTGAACACTAAATTGTTCGTGTCTTATCGATTTTGCAAACCTAGAACTGGAGATCTGCAGGTGGTAAACGGATGTCGAACAGTCCGTTCGTGTTTGTTATTTTCCAGTGGTCGACAGTTTTACGGCTAGTGTAATCAGCAGAACGCTTTGCAGAGAGGTGCTACATTGATTGGCATTTTATAGCACTTTCTCAGTACTACCTCTACTCCAAAGGTTGCTAGTGGCCAGTGCCTCAAGTCGCTATTACCAAAGACAAGCAGCGCAGGTCCGAACATCACCCATTTGCAAACTTACCCGAGGGAGGTCGTCGGGTGTTTCCATTGGGGCTCTTCTGGGCCGTGCCTGCTTCCAAATGCTCCGAGTTGTAGTACCTTCATCGTGACCTTTCCTAGGTCCTTGACAAGTAACAGAGGATGCATCCAAATTTTCAGAAATTGTCTGTCATATTTGAAGACTCACAAGCACGTAAGGGGTCAGCATGCAATTAGAGTCCATGGAAGTGGTATCCCTCCTGACTGCCAGCGCCAGTCTGAAAGGGTGCTCACGTTTATCATGAAGGATGAAGCTGTTAGTAAAAGCACATGCCCGATAATTTTGTCAGCGGCAAACAGCCGCGCCTTCCAAGCAAATTGAGCGGAAAACAGACTATGCATTGGAACTGCAGGTTTACTTCAATATTCATCCATCACATTGTGAGATTTACATATATTAGAATCATTTACCATCATTATGAATGCCGCCGGGTTCTCTTACCTCTATTATGCAATCCGTTGCAGATGTTGAGGGCACGCTGGTGGCGCTGACGGGCTTCTGCGAAATCACGCAGTTCTAAAGCCATCACCCCCATTTGACAATAGCTCCCCGCCTGGCTTATACGATCACCAAATCTGACGTTGATGTCCAGGGAATACTGGCAGTTGCGGCCTGCCTCCTCGAAATCACGCAGTTCTAAAGTCACCATGCCCAAATGGTAGTGGACCCTGGTTTGGCTTAGGCGACCACCAAATTCGATGTACATGTCGGGGGCACGTTGGTAGTTGCGACGGGCAGCCATGAACTTGCGCCGTTTTAAAGCCGCCATCCGCAGGCCATCATAGTTCCCAGTTTCCATTATGCGACGACTAAATTCGATCATGATCTCGAGTGCACATTGGTGATTCCGACGGGCCTCCACAAAATCACGCAGCTCGAAAGCCACCATCCCCATTCGGTAGCAGTTGTGAACTTGGCCTGGGAGATGCTCAAGATCGATCGAGTTGTCGAGTCCCCGTTGGTAGTTGCGACGGGCATCCATGGCATCGCCCAGTTCAGTACTCATCATCTTCATTTGAGGGTAGTTCTCGGCCTGGCTTGAAAGGTTGTCCAACTCGATTCTGATGTCGAGTGCAGGTTGGTGATTCTGATGGACCTCCGCGACATGAAGCACGTCTGTAACCACGACTTCCGTTTGGTGGTGGGCGCCTACTCGGGAGAGGCGAACATTCAGCGTGTTGTTACACATTATTGTTACATTTCCTCTGTCTAATATCATATAGATTTATCTGTGAAAGCCAAATTACAATTCAATTGTCAAATCACTATCAGATTCGGGAATATAAGGCCCGAAACTCAGTACTGTCTCTTTAACAAAGACACGTGGTCATATAATCCATTTCACAGGTCCCAGCATTATCGCAATGGCGGTTCGCGTCACTCGCCTGTACAATAATTTTGGTCCTCAAGGCGTTGCTGCCGTTCTGACCACCTCGCAGCCTCAGGACTGCCGCTGCCACGTTCATGCTGAGCGGAATTGACATCTCTACTCTTCTGGGCCTATATTGCTATTATTCCATATTTTTGTCGTTGTCATTATTCCTGGCACTCAGACAATTAGAATACATTTGCTCGTGATCGGAGGCCAAGTGGGCCTTCGCTTCAGCCTATCTCCAAGGGGCCCGACACAGAAAAACGCCATTCCGAGTTTTCTGCCGAAAACACAACAATGTCTGCTAAAAAATCAACTGTTCGTTATTGTCGTTGATACTATCACTCTACCTGATGATTGCGCAGTCTGCTTCCTTCTCCAGAATTTCGCACTGCCGACGTCTTGTGCAGATCTCCCCAGCGCCACCGCACTGCCTCTGTGGATCTCAGCTCGGCATTTCCCTTCGAACAGATCGCGGCAGTCCTCATTTGACAAACGCATAACAATTTCCCTGCCCATCCCACTCCCGCTGTCCCCAGGCAACGCATCAGAACTGCCTTCGTCAAACGAAATTTTACTACATGCTTCAAATTCGGCTTGGAATGTCGCGCTGACAGCAGCCAGGCGGCCCTGTGGATCAAACACGGGAGCAGCACAAAGGCCCGAATGGCGGTGCTTTCTATCGCAGTGTCTTAGCCAGCCTTTGGCAGGTCTCAATTCCGTTGTGATGAAAAATCTCAATATATGCTGTCGATGGATCCAGTACTTCAGGTGAAAGTGTGGCATAGTATTCTGTCCAACCAACGCTGTCACTCTTTGCGCTGTGTTGCACCTCCTCAGGTGCTCTGTCTGACACCGCTCATGCAATTCACACCATTCATGTGTGAATTGGAATGCACTTTTAGTGCCACAATTTTCGCCATTCTTATGTTTTCCGTCACACGCCGCGGTCTGCCATCCTGTTGCAGCGTTCAGCGCGTTTCTTGATGTGGCACAG